CGTGCAATTGTCATTCAAAGTGCAACAGCGCTCAAAGCTGGAAATTGGCCTGGGCAGGAAGGGGGTATAAGTAGGCTAGTGGTTAAAGGGGGTTCCCCTCCCTTTTTTTAAAATATTTTTCTCCTCTTCCCCATTTTCTCCTCTTCCCCCCTACACTCTCCTGTCCCCACCCACTCTCCTTATTCCCCCCCCCCCAGTACAGGCAGCAGTCGACCCCAGCTACTCTCTCTTTGCCACAATGGCCCTGAAATTCCTTTCCTGGAATGTTAAGGGGTTAAATTCCTCTGAGAAGCGTACCAGATGTCTTGCGAAACTCTTGAGACAGAGTGCATGTATATTCTAACTATATTCCCTTCGCACACATTCCTGGAAGTATGGCTCATCAATAGAGGGTGCTGTAGTGACTACCAGCTGGGACTGGAAACATCATAGGCAAATGTAGATATTCACCAGCACACCTTGGATCTTGATATGGTCCAAAAAGGTTTTTTATTCCAAAAAGATCATATCACAAAGAAAAGTACAATGTTTCAGAGCTGCGCAGGACCCCTTCATCAGGCATGGGATAAGGGTGCAGTAGTGACTATACAGACTATATACAGTGGGGCAAAAAAGTATTTAGTCAGCCACCAATTGTGCAAGTTCTCCCACTTAAAAAGATGTGAGAGGCCTGTAATTGGCATCATAGGTAGACCTCAACTATGAGAGATAAAATGAGAAAAAAAATCCAGACAATCACATTGGCTGATTTGGAAAGAATTATGGTGGAAAAGAAGTATTTGGTCACATAGTATTATGTGTATATACCTCCGTGCACTCAAAATTATCATCTACCAGGCGCAGCAGGTGTAGCACTAATCTCTATTGTTGATCGGGCACACTAGCCAGATGTGCCTGATCAGGGACTGATAAGCAACGGAGGGTGGCCACCAATCATGGTGTGCCTCGTGTGGTGCATGCGTGCTTAGCTGCTGAGCAGCGGGACACCATCTCCATGGCAACGTATGACATGGGATCGCTCATCAGGCCAGGGGCAGGCTCAGCTCCGAGAAGGGAGCTGTAAAGACACCAGGGATAGTAGAAAAAAAAAAGTTACAAAATGAAAAAAAAAAATAAAGGAAAAACAGGAAGGAACCAGAAAACAAAAGGGGGAAAAGGGGGGGGGGGGGGTGTGTGTGTGGGTGGGGTGGGGGGGGGGGGGGGAAAAAAGGAAAATGCGGCTTTCTCAAGTAAAATAATCGTCAGCCCCACCAGGGGACACGATTAATCTAGGAGCAGGGTTGGGACTACGTGGTCAGTCCTATATACACTTATGGGCAAAAGGTGAAAAAAAGGGAAAAAAAAAAATAAGAAACAGAGAGTGAAAATATAGTAATGGCTAACAAAACCTAAAAACATAGCTGACCAATCGTGTCCAGGTCAAAGGAAAACTGGTACCCAAAAAAAAAATCGAAAAAGTATTACATATTATCTACTGTCAAGAAAACATGTAAATGACAGATTGGTGTTAAGACCACCGGGTTGTTCTGTCTCAAGCGTGTGTATCCAGTACTCCTAATGGCGAAGGAGTAATTAATCGTGGTCACCTCTCTTTCTTTCTCTTTCATTTTATTTACCATAATGTATAAAGAAAAAATCTGGTATGTTCTGACCCTAAGAGTTAGTTTGGCAGTGGAGCAACAGACACACCAACAGACATCACAGCATTACTGCAAACTATGGCTTGTGTTTTATGGCTTCATCAGTAAATACTGTACGTGCCACAGCCTGCAGTGTCCAATGGTGTTCTCTCTACTTGACGCCAAGTCATGTGACCAGGCTTTTCTTCAATTTTTTCCCTTCCCTTTAATTTTAATAGAGCTGTGCTGATTTAGGACTCTAATTTCAGTGTGCTACATTAAGACCATACCACTGTTTTACACATGGGGTCCACAGTGATATCAGCAAGTGTCCTATTGTCCTTTTTTCTGTTTAAGTTTACTTTTATTTAAAAAATAGTAGTTTTATAAAGATGTTATCTTCACTTACCACAAAAAGAGAAACACATTATTCACCAGCTTATCTATAGCAAGGATTTGTCATGTTGGACCTATGCACATGTTGTAAAAGTATAAAATAGTTGTATTTTTTGAAAGCACAACATTGTTTGTTTGTTTCCAGTTAGTTTAACTGTACTTTTGATGCAGATTGATTACATATAGGGAAACAAATTGAGAATTTTTGTTTCTTTAAAATTATGGTGAATTCTTTTCTCTTAATCGTAGTCACGTGCATTTGGAAATCAGAGATACTTTTTGGCTTCCTTCAAGCACTTTAAAGTACAATAGGTAGACTAAAAAAAGCACTGTTTAGTAAATATAACCAATCAAGAGTTGGAACTTGGAAGGAAAACCGGGAGAAGATGGAGGCACCTATGACCAACAAGAACATTAACATCGCACCGCTGGAGGGGGTTGATTGACAGATAAGCCTGCCATAATGTGCTAATATGCTATGTATACTAGTACATAATAGCATAAACCTCCTGGGGGCCTTTTTCCCCAAAAACATTTGAACATTTTAGGCTAGGTTCACATCTATGCAGGCTGCAGTTGATGCGTTTTTCTCACATGTTTTGCACTTTTGAACATGTTTTTTAATGCGTTTTGATGCTTTTTTATGTGTTTTGCACTTTTTTTGCTAATAGGTCTGTTCATGTAGTGTGACGTAGATGCAACTTTACACTCACTGGCACTCAAGTAGCATCAAAGTCACATCAAAGTAGTGCATGAACGTTTATTTGTCCAAAGTTGCATGTTAGGGTTTAGGGTAAGGGCTAGGGTTTGGGTTGGGGCTGGGGTTAATGGCCAGGGTCAAACCACAAGGTGAGCGCATAAGTGTGTCGGAGGTGGATATAACACTGGGGGTCACACTAATTCACTGGATGGATATATACAGAGGAGATATTGCACAATAGCACAGAGCCTTAAAGGGACGGTTCACTAAGAATTATTTATTTATATCGGGACACTGTTAGTATATAAACGCACAGTGGATACAATTTGGATAACGCATGGTCAATATGGGCAGCAATATGAGATAGAGTGCGTTATTGTTTTATATAAGGTGATACATTTGGAGCACAGATTATGCACTTTATGATATTTAAGCATTGTCACATAGCAAGTTTTATGTACTTATAATTTATATTTTATATCTTATTTTTATTTATTATTTGATTATATAGTATTGTGCTACATTTTTTGTATATTATTATTTGTATGTGGGAACACTATACCTATTAGCTGCAATATTTGATTATATTGATGTGGATAGGCATATTGCGCTGTAAGTTTTCACATTATATTCTAGCCCATATCCCCAACCCCAGCCCTTAACCACAGCCTAACATGCAACCTTGGACACATAAAGGTTCCTGCACGACTTTGATGCAACTTTCATGCTACTCGAGTGCTAGGGAGTGTAAAGTCACATAAACGTCTCACTACATGAACAGAACTGATATACTTTCCTATTAGCAAAAAAACCTCCGCAAAACACATCACAAAGCAACACTTGCATTGTTAGTGCAGGTCCATTGAAGTCTCTTACACCCAAAATGTAATCTGCTGTGGGAAAAAAGTCCCCGATCCTTTATAAAAATGCACAGATGTGAACTAGATCCATAGGAAACCATGTTAAATGCACTCTGGTGCTTTTCTGCAAACTGGAAAAAGTACTGAAATCCACTTAAGTGTGAACCTAGGGTTAAAGAAGACACCCCCACCCCCACACACACACCTACACAAAACACTAGACAGTTAATACAATTTTGAAAATCCTTACCACTTAGGAGAAGACTAATTGAATTTTCATGGACTTGTGTCTGTAATCCAAAAGAAAACAGCATCTGCTCTGCCAAGGAGGAGGTGTAACAGCAGGGATTACATCACATCCTCTTCTCTCTCTCTCTCTGCAGTACATGGAAACTACAGTTCCTATCAATCACAGGGAATTGTAGTGAATGTGGGTGTACAGGCCTGTACAGGGTGGAAGTGTCTGAGAGTCTCAGTCCGCCCACCACTGCAAGAGGGGCTGAATTATACCACTGCTTCCTGGAGAAAGAACTACAGAAGGGAAGTGCCAAGATCAGTGGCTGGAGGAATAAGAGACATAGCATCTACCAGTCTTACAAAGAGGAAACTAAAGAGAATTAATGGTTTGATTTGAAAATGAATAGGCTATTTCAGAGCAACTACTGAGCAGGGGTGGACTGACCATTAGGAAACTCGGGCACTGCTCGAGGGCCCGGGGTCAGTAGGGGGCCCCATGAGATGCCCCTGGTACTTTTTTCATAGGCTTTTTTTTAGTTTGGGCAAGGACACAGGGGCCCCATGATCCCCTATTGTCCGGGGGCCACATGAGTTGTCAGTCCGCCCCTGCTACTGAGTGAATCAGAAGACGGATGACATACACAGTGAATGTAGGAAATTAGCAACAAGGACATGTAAATACATTTTTTTCATGGAGTTATGTTTTAATTCTGCTTAAACTGCAGCAGATATGAGTGATGTCACCAACCTGATGTACTGTCTGGCAAGGTTGTAGAAATCTCAGCACCGGTTGGACTAAATTACATACTGGGAGCTTAAAGGTGCTACTTAAAATTAGCAACACTGAATATGTTTAAAATGTGTTAAATTAATTATATAAAAATATGTTAAAATACATATAACAACCATAACCTAAATCCCAGGTAGAATACACATGTTGCTCCTGCAGGCTTCTCCACGATGCTAGACCAGTCCCTGCAGTCTCTTCTCCCCTGCACTCCAATGATCTAAGGTGCTCTAGCATCATCAAGTCCAATGCAGGGACCTGAGTACATCAAAGGACAATCCACTGCTGGAGCGAAGGGAAGTGCTGCAGGGGAGGACCTTTTCCTTTTCCAGGGTTGAACTTTAAAAAAACTATTGAAACAGTTGTCTTTAATGAGCATAGACAAAATGCTATTTACTTACACTGTGCAGTGAGCTGCAGTTAACACCCAGTTAGATTTTATTAATGTACCAGCACATAGGGATCTTCCTGTTTTCAGTAGAGCCATATATGGTCTAGAGTGAGGAGCAGCTTCCCGTCCACCAATGATGTCACTGCACTCACCTGTACAATATTAGGAACACATTATGAGGAAAACAAACAAAAAAAAACAATCAAAAACATAGTAAATAAATCTGTCACAAACCTTGGTCTGTCTTCGTTTTACATTAAAATTGTATATTCAAAGATTACCTGTGTTGGTAATTCCATTTCAAAATAATGGTAGATCCAAATATAGTATATTGGCATCTGAACTTATATGCAAGTCGCAACATTTCCTGTAAAATCTCAGCTTAGCTCCACCCTTTGCAATTTACCACACCGTCCTTGTCTTCGCTTAATGTGATGGGCAGTCCTTCTAACCAACAGAAAGTCTAAAAAGTGCTATGTAGGTCAAACCAGCAACAAGGCAAAGTTGCATTTAAAGAGAATATACTTGTTTGAAATATATTTATATGTTTGGAACAAAAATATTTTAAATATTTGTGCTTTTTGATTCAGAAAAATATTAAATACTGTATTTGAATATTTTGTATGTTCATTTTAGTCAGCTGTAGGCTCCTATTCACATGTGTGCCAGATTAGTGGACTTATCTGCTCTACTTAAAAAGACCATTGTTTACAGATCTCAATAGCTCAAGCTAAAATTTCTCTCCTGCACATACTGCCTGGTGTTATATCCTTTGTATGGCCCTCCTGCACATACTACCAGCTGCATACTCCGAGTAGTTTTCTCCCATCTTTGCACTCCCTACAACCTCACAAACACCCCCTTTCCTCTGTCTGATCACAATCTCATCACCTTCACAGTGTCCTCATTTTCAAACACCTATCCCTCCAAGCAGCAAACAATTACCCGCAGAAACCTTCACAACTTGAACCCTGCTCCTTTCCACTCTGCAACTGACCGACTCTATGACACAATCTCTCCCCTGTCCTGCCCTGACCTGGCCACTGCTGTCTACAATAGTTTGCTTTCATCCACATTAGACTCACTTGCTTCTTTAACAACACGAAGCATCAGGCCCCGACCATTACAACCTTGGCAGACTGACGACACCAGAAATCTTAAACGACATAGTCGTGCGCTGGAGCGATTGTGGCGTAAAACCAAATCTCAACAAGCATTCACCCTATATAAATCTGCTTTCTTAACATACAATTCCTCCCTTCATGCTGCCAAACAAGCCTACTTTGTCACTCTTATTAATACTTATCATCCAGTCCTCATCGACTCTTCTCTACTTTTAACTCTCTACTTTCTCCACCTCCACCCAGTACCTCACTCACTGCTCACGAGATTACAAATCATTTCAAAAACAAGATTGACGCAATTTGTAGGGGCATCGTCATTGCACAGACATCCATCCCACTTAGCATACCTTATACTATACCTCCCTCAACACTTTCCTCTTTTGACCTTGCTACTACTGAAGAGGTCACTAAGGTTTTCTCAGAAGCCCGTCTCACTACCTGCCTCCTGGATCCTGTCCCCACACAACTCCTACAGTCACCCTCTTCTTCAATCCTATGCTTCCTCACTCACATCTTCAATCTTTCCCTCTCTACTGGTGCCTTCCCCTCCCCTCTAAAGCATACGCACATCACTCCCATACTTAAAAAGCCCTCCCTGGACCCCACCGACCTGAACAAAGACCCATCTCCCTGCTGCCATTTACCTCTAAACTCCTAGAACGCTTAGTCTACAATCGTCTGAGCTCCCACCTCACCGACAACAACCTTCTTGACCCTTTACAGTCTGGCTTTCGCTCACTACATTACACTGAAACTGCCCTACTGAAACTCACTAATGATCTACTAACTGCTAAAACCAATGGCCACTACTCCTTACTCTTACTACTTGACCTCTCTGCGGCTTTTGATACGGTTGACCATCCCCTCCTCCTCAAAAAACTCCACTCTCTTGGCCTCAGAGACTCTGCTCTCTCCTGGTTCTCCTCCTACCTATCGCAGCGCTCCTTCAGTGTTACCTATAACGCTGCCTCCTCCTCTTCACTCCCTCTTTCTGTAGGGGTCCCTCAAGGTTCTGTCCTTGGACCCCTTCTCTTCTCCATCTACACCTCCTCCCTTGGTCACTTGATAAACTACCATGGCTTTAAGTACCATCTTTATGCTGATGACACACAAATCTTTCTTTCTATGCCTCACCTCACCCCTTCAGTCTCCACTTGCATTACTAACCTACTAAGTGACATATTGGCATGGATGTCACTCCACTTCCTCAAACTCAATCTTTCCAAAACTGAGCTCTTAGTATTCCCCCCAGCCCATGCCCCCTCCCCTGACTTCTCTATCAAGATCAATAACACAATCATCAGTCCCTCCCCTCATACCAGGGTACTAGGTGTAATCCTAGACTCCCATCTGTCCTTTCAGCCCCAAATCCAATCACTGTCCAAATCTTGTAGACTTCACCTCCGCAACATCTCCAAGATACGCCCGTTCCTAACCTCGGAAACCACTAAGTACCTTATCCACTCCCTTGTTATATCTCGCCTTGACTATTGTAACTCCCTCCTCATTGGCATACCGAATCGCAGGATATCCCCTCTTCAGTCTATCATGAATGCTGCTGCCAGACTCATCCACCTTACTAACTGTTCCGTATCTGCCACCCCTCTCTGCCAATCCCTCCACTGGCTTCCCGTTGCCCAACGGATAAAATTCAAAACATTAACAATAACTTATAAAACCATTTATAACTCTGCCCCAAATTATATCACCGATCTTGTCTCTAAATATCACCCAAACCGTACACTCCTCTCCTCGCAAGACCTCCTGCTCTCTAGCTCCCTTGTCTCCTCCTCCCATGCTCATCTCCAGGACTTCTCCAGAGCTTCCCCCATCCTCTGGAACTCTGTACCCCAATTTATCAGACTATCGCCTACTCTGCTCACTTTTAGGCGATCTCTGAAAACCTATCTCTTCAGGGAAGCCTACCCTGCCCTCTGCTAATAATGGAATTTTCTACTGTGCACTACTGTTAGACAGGACTGAAACGACTGACAGGAGAAGGTTAGTCCCAGTCTGCTGCTTTTCAGCATGACATCTCCAGGCTAAGAAGTGAGAGGAGCCACGCAGGAGCAGGATGGAGGTAGTTAATTACAAACGTGAGTGCAGCAGCTGAGGATAAATGCAGCTGTGTGCAGACAAATGGTAAACCCATAGGAGGAGTGAAGGGGTTAATTAACATTTCCACTAGCCAGTAATACAAGGGCAATTAACACTGCCACTGGCCATGGCTGCATTAATGGCCAGTGGCAGCGTTTATTAACCCTTTGTATTACTGGCTAGTGGCAATAATATTTAACTCTCTCACTCCACAAGGGCGTTAACCATTTCTTTGTACAAAGCTGCATTAGTGGACACAAGTCGACTCGAACATAAAGCCCATCACTAAATGCAAGGCATAAATGTGCAATTTGGAATAAAAGATTAAAAATGCTGTTGGTCATACACTTGATAATGGCCATGCTGTTGTACAGTTAAAGTACTATGTATGGCCATTCATCACATTCCTAAATTAGGATGAGGTGGAGATACAAAATTAGTATAAAAGAGGAAAGATGTGAAATGGATACAACAACAAAATATTTGACAACCATAGAGGGTTAATGGGGATTTTTAATCTACATTTATTGTTATGATTTGGATGATTGCTGTGAATAATTTTGATATATGAGATTATAAAAGTTTTGAATGATGATTTTCGATGGCAGCATGTTAATGTGAGAACAAAAAAGAAAAAAAAAATTGCCCGTGGCACACATTCACTGACTATTGGTGCACAGGTGTGGTCAGACACCACCACTGGAGAGAAGCACTGACTGAGCTTGGTAGGGAAAACTTCTCCACAAGAACACCACTCTGAGCCTCTCCTGCTGTGTGGGTAAACAAGAAATGCTGGGATACTAATTTCAGAGCCCAAAGATGTCCCCTTCATCAGTCGTGATGTACAGTCAGTGCTTATCTCCAGTAGTGGTGTCTGTCCATGCATCAGAAGCTGCTGCCTTGACAACGTTGGGGCTTGCTCCTAATGAGACGACAGGTGGTGTCCTGGGGTATTTCCTCCCAGATCTGGACCAGGGCATCACTTAGCTCCTGGACAGTCTGAGGTGTCACCTGGTGGTGTCGGAAGGACCAAAACATGCTACCCCATAGGTGTTCTATTGGATTTAGGTCAGGCGATCGTGGGGGCCATTCAATGGCATCAATTCCTTCATCCTCTCACTACATTATCATGCACCAGGAGGAACCAAGGACCCACTGCACCAGCATAGCGTCTGACAATGGGTCCAAGGATTTCATTCCGATACCTAATGGCAGTCAGGGTGCCATTGTCTAGCCTGCAGAGGTCTGTGCATCCCTCCATGGATATGCCTCCCCAGACCATCACTGACCCACCACTAAAATGGTCATGCTGAACGATGTTACAGGCAGCATAAAATTCTCCACAGCCTCTCCAAACCGTTTTCACATCTATCACATGTGCTCTGGGTGATCCTGCTCTCATCTGTGAAAAGCACAGGGCACCAGTGGCTGACCTGCCAATTCTGGTGTTCAATGGCAAATGCCAATTGAGCTCTATGGTACCGGGCAGTGAGCACAGGGCCCACTAGAGGATGTCAGGCCCTCATGCCATTCTCATGAAGTCTGTTTCTGATTGTTTGGTCAAAGACATTCACACCAGTGGCCTGCTGGAGGTCATTTTGTAGGGCTTTGGCATTGCTCATCCGTTCCTCCTTGCACAAAGGAGCAGATACCGATCTTGATGATGGGTTAAAGACCTTCTATGGCCCTCTCCAGCTCTCCTAGAGTAACTGCCTGTCTCCTGGAATCTCCCCCATGCTCTTGAGACTGTACTGGGAGACACAGCTAACCTTCTGGCAATGGCATGTATTGATGTGCCATCCTGAAGGAGTTGGACTGCCTCTGCAGGGTCCAGGTATCGCCTCATGCTACCAGTAGTGATACTGACCCTAGCTA